GAGAGAGAGAGAGAGAGAGAGAGAGAGAGAGAGAGAAAGGACAGAAAAAGAGAAAAAGAGAGAGAGAGAGAGAGAAAGAGAGAGAGAGACTCTAGTTGAACAGCGAGTCAATTCGCAGTTATCGAGGTCGATGTAAGGTCCTGATCTGTTTGGTGACTGACCACCTTTAAGAAGTGGTAGACCATCTTCAAGAAGTGTCAACCTTCACGAAGTGCCAAACAGTCGGCGGTCTAAGGACTCCAGTGCCAAAAGCATTCTTAGGGGACCTTGCGGTCGTGTTCAGAACATATTGGCGTAGCACTAGATGCTCACCAAGCAGTTATGGATGTCGGTTATATCGACACATCATAAGATGCCTTACAAGCAAATAGCAGCTGCTTGCAGGACCTTCTACCACGTATGAATCTTTGAGAGCAGAATTTTGCACTCCACCTTGAGATCCATGTCGGATAGGTGGACCTGCCATCCTACCGCTTTTAGCTGTAGTCATCTTGAGGTAGTCGATGAGGTGAGGACCCGACAAAGAAAACTCTCTGTGGACTTTGCTGCCGTGTTTTTAGAACTTATTGGCGTAGCACTAGATGCTCACCAAGCAGTTCTGGATGTCGGTTATATCGACAAATCATAAGATGCCTAACAAGCAAGCAGCGGCTGCTTGCAGGACCTTCTACTCGGTGTGGATCCTTGAGAGCAGAGTCCCGCACTCCACCGTGAGATCCACATCGGATAGATGGACCTGCCATCCTACCGCTGTCAGCTGTAGGCATCTTGAGGGAGTCGACGAGGTGAGGACTCGGGAAAGAACATTGTTAGAGGACTTTGGTGTCGTGTTTGGAACATATTGGTATAGCACTAGATGCTCACTAAGCAGTTCTGGATGTCAGTCATATCGACACATCATAAGATGCCTTACAAGCAAGCACCGGTTGCCAGCAGGATCTTCTACCCGGTGCGGATCCTTGAGAGCAGAGTTTCGCACTCCACCGTGAGATCCACATCGGGTAGGCAGACCTGCCATCCTACCGCTGTTGGTTGTAGTCATCTTGAGAGTCGATGTGGTGAGGACCCGACAATGAACACTCTTAGGAGACTTTGCTGCCGTGTTAGGAACTTATTGGCGTAGCACTAGATGCTCACCAAGCAGTTCTGGATGTCGGTTATATAGACACATCATAAGATGCCTTACAAGCAAGCAGCGACTACTTGCAGGACCTCCTACTTGGTGTGGATCTTTGAGAGCAGAGTTTCGCACTCCACCGTGAGATCCACGTCGGATAGGCGGACATGCCATCCTACCGCTGTTGGCTGTAGTCATCTTTAGAGTCGATGAGGTGAGGACCCGACGATGTTCCAATTGGGACGTGCTCTTGTTTCGTGATGTGCAGGTGCTTACCGAAGTTACCAGCGGTGCGTTCGATCCCCTACTCGACGTGAAGCAAAGTGCGAGGGAATTGCTCAGGGCTCACACCAGAAGTGCGATTGAACTCGCACTTTGATGGAAAAGCAGTTGCGCAGTCCATCGGCGCGACGATTTAATATGGACATTGGCTTGTCATTTCTATATCACAGGTTGAAAACGCAATCAAATCTTTCTGTGTAGAGGATTCATATCCATTCACACAAGTATCTCTTGTCATCGCAAACACCGAGATGAAAACATCTCAAGTCAAATTGCAAAGCACACAGAGACATCACAAACATCGAGGTGAAAACATCTTAAGTTGCGCACTGTTTTTCCAAAGGTGAAGTCTCAGAGCAGACGAACAGTTTCCAGAAACCATTTTATGCAGAAAATTTAATCAAGGGCAAATTGCAAAGCACAGAGACTTTCCAAATTGAACGCAAAATATCATACAATCCTACATTGCAAAGTGCACGGAGGGTTTCCAAAAATCACAAAGTACATGGAGCCAAAGTGCAAATATGTTCTCATTTTCGATATGAAACCAACAGTTCAAACACAAATGCACGACATCCAAAGTGCGAATACGTTAGCATTTCTCATACGGAAACAACAGCCAGCATCCAGTGGAGAGCACGAGATGTATTCCGGGGATAACAAAATTGGCAATCATTTAGTGCACCGCTGAATCCGTTAAACAACTTCAAGCACAAGTCTAATTGCAAAGCACACTGAGACATCGTAAACATCGAGGTGAAAACATCTCAAGTTGCCTAGTGTTTTTCCAAAGGTGAGGTCTCACAGCACACGAACAGGTACCAGAAACCATTCGATGCAGAAAATTCATTCGAGGGCAAATTGCAAAGCACACAGAGACGTTTCAAAAAAAGTCATTGAACGCAAAATATCACACAATCCCACATTGCAAAGTGCACGAAGACTTTTCAAATATCACAAAGTACATGGAGCCAAAGTGCGAATATGTTCTCATTTCTCATATTGAACAAACAGTTCAATCACAAATGTACGACATCTAAAGTGCGAATATGTTCGCATTTCTCATACGAAAACAACAACCAGCATTTCGTGGAGAGCACGAGATGTATTCCGGGGATAACAAAATTGGTGATCATTCAGTGCACCGCTGAATCCGTAAAACAACTTCAAACACACATACATTCTGGCAACAATTGGTTTCTGAATGGAGAACAAGTTCGCAACTGTCATAAGGAACCAACAGACAATATTCAATCGAGACCAGCAGAGGGGTTTTCACACCACAAAGTCTCGCGAACGAAAGAGATAAGCACGAAACAATTTGGCGACCAGAATAAATCGTCGATATTTTTCACATGAGTAAAAGAGGAGCACAACCTCGAAACGAACAAACGTAGCACGGTGCTGCCACGGTCTGAGGGGACATAAGGAGAACAACCCGAACATAAACAAAAGAAGCACAAAGTTGGGATATTCACATCCGATATATAAGCGTCTACAGAAAAGGAACTGCACCACGTAGCTGGGATATTTACATCGGCATCTGAGCTTCTACTTCACGTAAGCGTCCGCTGCTACCCTCTAGCTGATGTTGTGCGGCAAGCAATGAGAAGAACCCGAAAACAAACAAAGGAAGCACGGCGCTGCCGAAAGTCCTACGAGTAAAGATGACAGGTTTCACGAAATTAGAACCCTTAAAAAATTGATATAGCAAAAGACTGGGATATTCACATCGACACCTAAGCCTGTACTTGACCAAAACGTCTACTGCAATCTGGCACCTCATGAAAACAACAACACAGCTCGAACCGGCTGACATCTAGATCAAGTGTGAATAGATTCGCACTTCTGCTTGTGGCCTTTGGAAAACGAACTACGCGTATTTTAACAACAGGGGTATTATTCAGAGCCTTGGAGTATGTCAACCGCAATCCTCAGCCTGATGTTTGCAATGTCGCTTTGGGCTATCGGAAATGGTGGCGGATAGCCGCGTGCAAGAAAAGAAGTGAAGGCGAGCATGAAAACACCGCAGCTCGACCCGTCCGACTGTTGAGGGACACCATGAGCAACCACCTTGGGTGCCGGGAGATCCAGTTTGGCTTGTTCACCATATCGACAAACCGCTTCGTCACGGAGGTATTGCGGGAAGTTCGCAAGCACATCGGAAGAAAAACCACCATCGTCTTGCAGGAGGTAGCCGTAGTACTCCAGCCCTTGTTCTCGGACACATAATAGGGTCCAATGCACTCGATGTTTATGGACAGGAATCAAGACCATGCTGTACGGACTGAAAATGTAAAGAGAGGAACCCCCAGGGAATGCAACGTTGGCAAGCAAGGCCAACTACGACTCCACCACCTCGTCGGAAAGCCATCCCCCCTGGACAAGAGTTTGAAAACTTTTTCTGGTCAACGGAATCGAACTGGGACCTCCGCGAACCGAGGAAACCACCTCCTGGCCGTTGTTGAAATCTCCGCAGACGTCCTGCAACATTCTGAAGTCCGTAGCGCTAAGCTTCTCAGTAGGCAAGGGAACGAGAAAACATGATGTAGCCCCAGCTGCACAAACACCCACGAACAAGTGTGAGGAGTGAGCACAAAACTCGGGACGGAATGACTAAGAATTGTCTGCCCTTTTCCCTGAAAAGTTTTATCCCCAACTGTTGAATGTGTCCTTCGCGATATACTTAGGACACGGGTCTTTCAAGATACCCCATTCACCATCGTCAACAGACCCATCAGACAAAGCAGTAACGCTGTCAATAGACGCAGCCAAATATTTTCGCAGACCTTCCTCCTTATCTATTCCACAAGCCTTCAGAACCCTGACAGCTCTCTGGGAAAGGCAAGGTATCAAGACTCTTTTAAACAATCCTATACTTGACGACTTCTTCGGTAAAGTGGCCAATGACCTCCCTGAAAGACGTTTCTCGTGGACGGCTTTTAAAGGCTTCATGGGCAGGGACATTAAGAACCTCACACATGTAGAACATAGATAACAACCCACAGCCCACAAGCTTTTTTTTAACCAGTGGTAATAGGTAAATTAGCCCATGACATCAATTTGGACGAACACAGAGCTGGCTATTGACAGATATGCGAGTGGTCCTATACACAAATCTTACCATGCTCGGGATCCCTTTAAAGGAACTCGCCCTCCTATCGCGCCACTGCGCCAACGTCCACGGACGATTCAAGGTTCTGGACCTCGGCCACGGTTGTGTCGCTAACCAGCTCGGTGGCAGCTGAGTCGCTTGGCAAGTCGATGGCTTCATGAAGCACCATGTCCTGACCAGTACTGAGGACTGATGCTCGATCACCCTGTTCGGCACCGCAATTGGTGGACGGAGAATCATGATCTTTCCGCTGTGGATCCATCTTGATGCTGACGGCCACCTCACCTCCTTCCACGGAGGATTCGACGTTCTGCATCTTGGCCACGCCTGAGTCGCTAACCAGCTCGGTGGCTGTCGAGTCGTCACCCAACTCTATGGCTTCATGAAACACCATTCCCCGAGCAGTGCTCAGGACAGACGCTCGACCACCCTGTTCTTCAACGCAACGGGTGGGCGAAGAATCACCATCTTTCCGCTGTGGATCCATTTGGATGTCGACAGTCACCTCACCGCCTTCCACCACGGGTTCTCCGCCTTTCTCATCGCCATGAACCCGAGCTTCCACCGCGGGTTCTTCTTCGTCTTCATCGTCACCAAGAACGGGAGCTTGCACGGACGTCCACTGACCTCCCTTAACGACACCCTCTCGCGTCGTGGCCACAACCGAGTGACTGAGCAGAACCTCTTCGGACATCCCGATCACCAGCGCTCGTGCGTGGAGCCACTTCACGTCTTCACGAGCCGGCCCGTGTCGAGTCTCCTCTCCCTGCTGCACAACATGCGTTTCCCCCGGAGCTCCTGCAACCTCGTTGTCAGTGTCCACGGACGCACCCTCTGAAGCATGACGTTCACACTCGCTACCCCCGGTCTCCACTACTTTGTGAGACTGCCAGCATTGAGTCTTCTATTTCCGATGTACAACACGCATTCCCGGAGAGCGCTCCTCTTCCCCAGGAGTGTGATGTTCGCTCTCACTACCCCCGGTCTCCAACACTCCTGGAGCAGGCCCCTCCAGCACGTCACGAGACCGTCAGTCTCGAGTCTCAACAAATGAGAAGGGAGGCGAGCAGGGTAACCGTGTGTCCAACTGAAGATGCGGGGGCCAAGACGTCACATTTTTTTAGCCCTGCGGAACTGTTGCGTGAGGAGCACTTATGGCGGAGTGCGACGTCAGCAAATCCGAATGTATTCGGAGTTTGTGGCGGTCGCCCGAGCCGAGGGAACTGGAAGTTGCACCTTCGCTCCTTCGCAATGCAGGCATCCCGCCCTCAAGGCAAAACGAAGACGCACCCTCTTTCAGGAGCAAGGTGTTGAGCACAGGAGACCTCTGGTGCGCACGGCAGGATGGACTCTCCTGGGCAATGGGAAACAAACTCCTCGCAGAGAAGTGCGAATCTACTCACACTTGATCAGATGTCAGGGTGGCCTCGTCTCGCATGTCTGAATCTCGACTCCCTACGCAGTGGGGGTTAGTTTCCATATACTGGGGACTCCCGGACATTCTACGCTTTCCGCACGACCCCTTCCCGCCCGACCCCTTCCCGCCCCACCCCTTTCTGCCCGACCCCTTTCCGTCGCACGCCTTCTCTACCGACGATGTCTTGCCCGTCCCCTTTCCGGCAAACTGTGAGCCGTCTCCTCCGCCACCTCCGCCGTCTCCTTCATCTCCTCCACCACCCCATCCCGGATGCTGACCGACTGGCGGAGATTGCGGCATGCGCCATTCAATGCCACGAGACGGTGCCGTTTCGAGTGCGTAGAAAGGCGCTCGAAACTCCAACATGTTGTTGTTGTTGGCGTACAACTCATGTAGCTTTTGTTGTGCATACGCATCGACGTCCGGATCGTTCCTCTCGGGGTTCATGAGACTCAAATGCTCCACCAGAGCAGTTCTTGCCTTTCTCTTAAATGCACCCGCTCCCTGTCTCTTCAGTCCACTCCACTTGCCATCACCCTCCTTCATTGCCATGACCCATATTCCATTCCTCACAGCAGGTTGGAATATCCTCGGGTGCCAGACGAAGTTTGTGTCCCCAGACATCCTCCGACGTGAACCGGTGATGTTTGCCGAAGAAGTAGAGTCTGTCATTCGGCGAGGTGTCATGGTCCACAGGGAGCCTGTCACAAGGTTCGTGATCGTAGCCTCTCTCTTCCTCCCCGTCATCAGACGATTGGTCGTCGACAGGTTCGCCCCGAAACACACGCTTCAAACCAGCAGGGGACGTGCTATATCTCCGAGGGCCACCTTCCTCTTCATCACCAACCTGTCCAACCAACCGAGGAAGTGGCATGGACTCGAAATCAAAGGTTTCGGAGTCGCTCAACTCCTCCATGTCTTCAGCGTCGAAAGGATCCTCCTCGTCAAACTGAGACTTGTAGTTTTCGAGAGTGAGCGGTTTGGCCGGCGTGAAGTAAACGTGCTCCAGCCTTCTCAGGAAGTGCGAGACAGACTCCCTGGGTGCACCGTGGTACCCATTCAGCACAGCGAACACTAGGTTCCTCCGTCGACTGTATTCGAGGTCGGTCGGACCACGCAGTCCGGGTCCGAAAACGAAGTCCCAAACGTCCGTCCTTTTGTTCCCCGACAATTTCCAATATATGTCACGTTTGGGATCCCAGTTTCGTTTGCCGGTGGTGCGGACAAACTCGCAAGCATTGCGAGTGTCTGCAACACATGTCTTCACGAACTCGTGAAGGTAGTCGATCATCCTCGCCTCCTTCTCCAACGCAACGACGTTCCGACCGGTGCGGAGGAGTCCCCACACGACAGACGCATGCGTCTTCCCAAAGAAAAAAATAGTTTGCCCAGCTTTGCAAAAGTTTTCGAGTAGACCAAGTAGACGGGACGGGTTCCGCTCCATCTCCCCGTAAGCAGGTCCTTGAGAACTTGTCACGCCACCGTCCTCCCACATGCTACGAGAGAACCTTTCCTTTTCCGCCATGTCGAAACACGCCACAGCCTGTCCTGATGGGTCCGACGAACACACAGGTTTCGAGCGGACCGCCACCGAGTGTTTGGCCGGACTTGGACCTTGGGAACGGGAAGCCTTTGTCGGGCTACTGGTCGGGTAGACTGTGTATGTGTTGTCTTCCAACTTCTTGCCATTAAATATCACGTACAGGCGGTCACACTCCTCAACCAGCATATTGCCTTCCCGGACAGTGGTCTTCTTTTGTGCATAACGTACCCACTTCCCTGTCCTGACGTGATGGACGCTAAGCCTTGCCATGCCTTTCAAGAAACTGAGCTCCCAACGAGAGGGGAAAAATATCACGAGTGCCCACTGCGTTGGCGAAAGTGTTTGTAGAAGGCCTTGCAAGTTGGCGAAATCGTCTTCTCGCCAGTCTGTGAGGAGTGTGGGATCACACAAATCGAGGACGTACAGGTTGCACATGTAATGTCGCACAACCTCACGGATCGCAATGACATGACTGTGAGCTTGGGAAGGCGGGAAAGCGAAAGGAATAAGGCTGGTCACCCGGTTGAGGTCGGGCCATTTGATGTGCCTCACATCCCCGCTGACCCTGATCGTGTCCCGAACTTCTCCTTCCGTCCATCACAAGATGGAACGAACAGACTTTTCGAAAGATTTAGGGAACCTGTCATCATCGTACAATCTCTTCGCGTCGTCGATGGACTCCTTCTCGTGCGGAAGAGTACGTTTGCAAGTGTTCACGTACTCCATCGCGCCCTGTTTCATGAGGCCCTGTGGCCCGAACTCCTCCAGAAGCTTCCCCTCCGTCCGAAAAAATGGGCTCCCGTGGCGCCAAACATGTTCGTTCTCCTCCGTTTCAAGGAACAAGATGTAGTGGAACATACGGAGCATCACGCGGTCCACTTTCGTCGTCACGACCATTTCTTTAATTCCAGGTTTATGCTGACGCTTCAGATGGCTGCCCGCGGATTGCACGAACACTCCCCTTAGTGCGAGAATGTCGTCGAGGATCGACAGTTTCTCGACATCGGTCATGTCGGCGAGAGACTGCCAACAGAATATGTTTGGCTCCTTCACGACCACAAAAAACTTGTCGTCCGCTTGCGTTTTCTTTTTGGTCGGAGGCGGCGGGACCCGGACCAGCCACCCCATCTTCGTTTCACCAACCGCCCCTTTTGTGCCAATTTCAGGAATTTCTTGCAGACCCGGAGATTTATCAGGCATGTATTTACCCGGCCTCGACAATGACGTTTTGCCGTCGTCGCCTAACAACTTCCCCTCCGCCCATTTCGCGTAGAACTCTTTGGCTTTGCGAAAACGTCATCACCGACCATCACGAACGGCATCCACTGCCTCAATGCATTGCCAACAGCAGCGACATAGTCCTTGTCAGCGAGCGACAAATCTTTTTTTGCCAACATCCAGTGAGCTTCGTTCGGACTCTTTCCCAAAAGCAGCTTCTGGAATTCGAAAAACTTTTGTTTTTCGGCCTCCTTCCCGGAAGGGTTCCCTTGAATGGCCATCGGGCTTCCTTCTTTCTCCCATGCCTCCTGCATGTCCAAGAACGTGGCCTTCTGCGATCGTTGAGACTGACCTGCCTATACCTCGTGGAATCTCAGTCGGAGAACCACGCTACTCTCGCCGGCCAGGAGTGCATCTTCCACAAATTGAATATTGGCTCACACTCCAACTCCTTCACAGCAGCTATGGTGTGTTGTCCGTTAACAGGGTAATAGTAGTACTTGTCCTTGTCCTCCGGCTTGAAGTCATCTTTGTGAACCCTGTTAGCTATCTCCGGCCTACGCGTCACCGACTTGTAGATGGGTGCCAGAACCAAAGGGTTTTTCGTCTAGATCTTCCCCTTTTTCTCGCGGTATTGACTCAACATCGCAGCCTTAATGTCGTCCACAGTTTCCCGATTTAGACTGCGGTGGTTGTAATATTTTTCCCAAGATGGGATGTCGCAGACCTTCCTGGGGTCGATGATCAGTTGGACGGGGAACTCCTTCTCCACGATCTCACCGCCATCGTTCCGCTCGTATTCGAGCCAGAACGCTGCCGCTTCGTCGCACTCCTCACAGACAGGCCATTCGCCCCCGCTCGCCGCCTCAACAGTCTTCCGCCTTCGAGGTTTCTTCTGGCCATCGCCTTCTTCAGCTGCCACTTTCCGTTTCGATTTCCCCGAAGGTTCTCTCACGTCCGCAGCGCCTGGATCAGCTGAATCTCTTCCACCCGCGGCTTGTCCTTCGTGGATGGTCAAACCGCCGGGCCTCCTCGCTTTCTTACATGTCGTCCCACCGTCTTCCTTCGTCGGCCTCTTTCCCGAGGCACGTTCTCCGTCGTCACCTCCATCCCCGCCCATCCAGCCTCCGGTTTTCCTCTCATCCTCTTCATGCGGAGGGTTCCTTCCGCCACCTCCTCTCGCACCATCCTCTGTTGCTCGCTCTTCTGCTCCGAAGGAGTCTGCTCCGTCCCAGAGATTTCGCGGTTAACGCCCATCCCTTCAGCCTCATTCCCTCCGACATCTAGCCCCGATCTGCTTGAATCTCTTGTCGTCTCATCTCGAAGCGAATACGTGTCGCCGCCGCAGCGGACCTTGATAATTTTCGGAGTACCGACCCATTGAGTCCCTGTACCCTGAGAATGCAAGTGCGACGTGTTCCCAGGAGCATCCGGGCCGACCTGCGTGTGAACGCTGCGTCCCTTGACCCGACCCCCAGCGTCTTGAATTGGACTCCCGCGCCCCACTGCCCTACCAGGAGTTTCTTGAGCCAAGCCAGACGACCCCTCACGAGGTGGCAGAAGCCGAAAAACATGCTCTGGCGGAAGAATCGGACGTCCTTTCGGCACCATCATCGCGAGATCGAGGTATTGCTCTAGCGATGGAAGACGCTTGCTGCCGTCATCGTAAAGGCCTATGAAGTGAGAGCACAACGGCATGTTCGAGCCGTACCTCGCGAAACGCTTGATGGTCACTATCACACCTTTAATACCTCTGATAGGCAGTCTACACTCGTCGTACAAGCCGTTAGTGTGCAACTTGAGCAAAGCTCCAGAAGTCTTCGTGCACGAGACGACGGTACCGACAGGAACAACGTTGACCGCTCCCCCAACGTCTGTAATGCAAGTGGGTCGCATGAAAACAACTGGCCCAAAAAGGTCCCCCTGAACAACGAAGTCCAAAAAACATTATGCTCCTTTTGCGTGCATATACGGAGGAGTAGGTTGCTGTACAGGTCGTCCCTCCCCGGGGGCAGATGGTCCAGCGCTTGTAAATGTGTTCTTTGCAGACGCCATTGAATTCCCACTCGTTGACTAGCACGCCCAACCTCAGACCAACTCAGATGACTAATACGCCCAACCCCTGACCACTACAGAAGCGAAGTGCGAACTAACTCAGACTTAACGAAAAGAAGGACGAAAATGACGTAAGAGATGGGTGTTCGAAATTCACACGAATTCACAACAATCTGGTGAAGGATAGGAAAGACAAAAGTTTGGAGGGAAGACGATAACTGTTCGGAAAGATTGCGACCCAACTAGATCCCCTCGAAACGAGTAAGATGTGGTTTACCGACAAGTGCGAAAGGTGTCCACAAGTGCGAACTAACTCGCACTTCTGTAGACAAGACAATAATGGCAACCCGCTGCACTAGGGGAAAGTGCGAACTAACTCGGAATTGTGGAACTGAAGACCTGAAAGACGCGTGAAACGAGTAAGATATGGTTTATCGACAAGTGTGAATCGACAAGTGAGAACTAACTCGCAGTTCTGCTGACAGGACGACAATTGCAACCCGAAGTACAACGGCAAAGTACGTACTGAGTCCGAATTGTGAAACTGGAGTCCTGGTTTATCGACAATTGCGAAGGGTTTCGACAAAGTGCGAACTAACTCGCAGTTCTGTAGACAAGACAATAATGGCGATGCGCAGCACTAGGGAAAAGTACGAACTAACTCGGAATTGTGGAACTGAAGACCTGAAAGCCGCACGGGTTGGGTTGTCAACTCTCCAACAGTGTTGCTCAAAAAGTGCGAACTAACTCACATTTGTGGAAATAAAGAACTGCTTTTAATGAAATATGTGTCTAACCTTGGGAAAACTGCAAATAACCTCGCAGTTGTCACTCCTCGAACACTGTACGTCGCAAACTGCGAACTGACTCGCAATATATCTCTTTATATATATGTATCTATACATACATACATACATATATATGTATCTATACATATATACATACATATATATATATACATATATCAGGCCAGCAACCTCACAAGGGACAGGTGAGCGAAAATCGGGAATTGATTCGGTGTTCAGTGTAACAATATATCTCTATATATACATATATGTATCTATATCTTTATATATATATATATGTAGATATCAGGTCGGCGACCTCACAAGGGACAGGTGAGCGAAAATCGGAAATTGATTCGGTGTTCAGTGTTGAAACTAGGTATTGATTCGGGGTTCGCCATGCGCAGCGACGACTGCAAGTTGCGAAGGGGATCGAGCAGCTTTATACGAACGTTATCGTGGCTATGGCGAAAGGTAATCGAGTTGCGGAACGCGGATCGGCTATGGCGGACGGAGGTGGAGGGTGGAGAAAAGAGATCACAGCACGTCTACTGGCGAAACAACAAAAACGGGAATTGATTCGGGGTTCAACAGAACGCGGCTGCGGTGTTATATCCTGCACGTACAGACAGGGCATTGGGAATGTTTTCGGACGTCGGACACAGAAAAGGACAACTCAAGTTATATGATTTTACCTTCGTAGTGCATTGAGCGAGCAACCAACCATCAAACCAGCTATGGTGGAGGGATATCGAGCTAGGAAGAGCGAAGACCGAGGAGCGAAGATCGAACCGAACACAATGTGGGAACAGCGGACGGAGCGAAGAGCGAAGAGTGAGCGGGCTATGGCGGAAGGTGGGGGTGGTTGAAGACCAAATATCAGAACGCAAGCGGAAGCGATAGCGCGACTTGCTCTGTGGAGCGCCAACAAAAGGGATAACTCGAGGGCTGCAACGCCTTTTATACTTTGTTGCGGCAGGCCTTGCGTCGGGATCAAGGTGGGGTCGAATCGATTCGCATATCGCACCCCTGGGCCCATAAAACGCCATCAAGGTGGGGCCGAATCGATTCCCGTATTGCACCCCTGGACCCATAAAACACCAGGGCCTATAAAAGGTAAGGGGTACCAAAAATTGTGAGCCGTCGATCAACAATTTTCAACCGCGCAGATGAACGGAGCCACTGTTATGCCAGTGGCCCCAAAATCTCCGTCTACTCCGGCGTGCAATGATGTGACAATTCCCGAAAACAAGGGGCACGCAATGTCATTTTCGCAGTTGTAATCTGGACCGTTGATCGGCATGATCCGACGCACGAGGTCAGGCGCAAGAATCCATAAGGTGCAGCGATTCGTTGTGCGCCGAGGCGGTTCGTTGCGCGTCGAGGCCAGGCGACGGTTTATTTCCCGCCGAGGCGCGGCGATTCATTGTGCGCCGAGGTCAAAAACACCGGAAATCTATAAGTTCGAGGGTCGCTGTCATTCAGACATTTTGCAAATGTCAACGGCGTTCGATATCGATGCGCTTAGCCATGCACCATCATTATCGATGCGCTTAGCTCATCGCCATCGCCAACGCTCGCCATGCACCATCGCCATCGATGCGCTTCCCCCATCACCGCCATCGCGCTCGCCTGACCATCGTAGCGCTGACAATCGCCATCGCAGCTCTGGCCATCGCTGCGCCATCGCAACGTTGGTTCCATCGATGCGCCATCTCTCAATCGGTGCGTCATCGCTATCGCTGCCATCGCTATCGTTATCGCTGCCTTCGGTATCGCTGTTCCATCGCTGCGCCATCGCTATCTCTGTTCCATCGCTACGCCATCGCTATCTCTGTTCCATCGCTGCGCCATCGCTCTCCACCGGTGCGCCATCGCTGCACAATCGCTATCGCTGTTCCATCGCTGCCATCGCTATCGCTGCATTGTAACGCGTTCCATTACCACGCAATCGCTCTCCACCGGTGCGCCATCTCTCCACCGCAGCGCTGGCCATCACTATCAAAGCCTTGGCCAGTGTTATCCCACCGCAACGCTGCGCGATTTCTCTCTCCATCGCCGCACGATCTCCCTCCATCGCTGAGTGATCAGTCTCCATCTCACTCCATCACCGCGCGATCTCTCTCGACAACCGGGCAACCTCCATCCTTGCCCCAGAGGCTCTCCATTACTTGTGCGCGATCCCTCCATCGCCATTGTATTATTGTTTCAGGCCGTCGTCGGTGCAGCCGCCCATCATTGCGGAATCGCACGAAAGAGGTGACAGGTATGCTTAACGAAGGTTTAACTCGATGGAACTGATGTTGTGCAATAACAAATTTTGGTCATCGTTGTGCCTTCTCTCTCCATCGTTGCGGTATCGCTAACCATTGTTGCGCGTCCTCTCTCCATCTCTCTCCACCGATGCACGATTTCTATCGACCTTTCGTCATCTATCCTCATCGCTGCGATGTCTTTCCTAATCTATCTCCTTCGTCATCCATCTCCTTCGGTGCGCTAACTTTCCTAATCTATCTCCTTCGTCATCTATCTCCATCGCTGTGCTATGGCGAACCATCACTACGCCTGCTATCTCCGTTGCTGCGCCATGTTTCTCCATCGGTGCGCAATCTCTCTCTCTCGCTGCGGCACACCTCCCAATAAGTTCTTGATCTCTTTCCCTTCCTGCATCATCTACCTTCTTCCTCGGAATATACAACGCACTTTCATTATAGTTGTTTTTAGACTGAAAGATGACCCGAATTCAGCTGTAATGACCGGACGTTGTATTCGGGGGAAGACTGTGACTCCATCCATCTCTCTTGGTCCGCCATCTCTCTCATTCGTTGCGCCATCTCTATCCATGTATTTTCATCGATGCGCCGTCTGCCCATTGCTTTGCAATCTTTCTCCATCTTAAAAAATAGCACGCAATCTTTCCCTATTTCTCTCTTGCGATGATCTGTGGCTCGTACTACACGCATAACAAGTCGGAAACAACTTGCACTTGTACCCGCAGTTTCRTAATGGAAATGCTCGTTTACAAGTACGAATTCATTCGCTCTTGAACCAACCAACCCCTTAATTTGTCACTGTTTAGTCCATAGGTCAGAATTAACTCGCACATGTACCCCCAGTTTTGTAATGAAAATGTCTGTTTGCATGTGCGAATTTATTCGCTCTTCAATCAACCATCCCCCTAAATTTCTTACTCTATAGTCCAAAAGTCCCAGTTTCATAGTGGAAATGTTCGTCTGCAAGTGCGAATTTATTCGCTCTTCAACCAACCATCCCCCCAAATTTGTGACTCTTTAGTCCATAAGCCCCAGTTTCATAATGGAAATGCTCGTTTGCTAGTGCGAATTTATTCGCTCTTCAACCATCCATCCCCTTAAATTTGTTCCTCTTTAGTCAATAATTCGCGTCTCTTCTCGAGCCAAGAGAATGAAGTCCTTTTGTATTTGCGAGTTAACTCGCCACTGAACTAACCACGA